AAGACCTGAACCTTCACCCGTTGCATTCGGTTTGTGGAGGGTCTTTGTTGTAATTGAACGATCCGTGATATTGTGAAACAACGTCAGCTGTAGAAATGAATGGAAACGGAACATCGACATTTGTTGTGCCTGAAAAAAGCAACAGCAGCCGCTCTGATCTGTTTGAAACAAGAAAAAAAAATGGTGTACATGGGCGGGGCCAGGGGTGGACTGACCATTCAGGCACTGAGGGCCTGGGGTCAGTAGGGGGCCCCATGAGATGCCCCTGGTACCTTTCATAGGCTTTTTTGGGTGTGGTTTGAGTGTGGGTGAGGACACAGGAGCCCCATGATCCCCTATTGCCTGGGGGCCCCATGAGTTGTCAGTCCGCCCCTGGGTGGGGCATTATACAAACCAAGCCCGGTCCCTGGCACACTTTCAAGAGAGTTAGGATTTTAACCTGAGTAGCTTAAATGGCTTAGTTAGCTTTTTTCTTCCTTTTTTTTTTCCTTTCCTGTGCCGGGGACCTTTCATGTTACTCCGTATATTGCACTGCTCAAGTGCTTCTTCCTCTTCTTTTTTGCAAGTTTCATACAGATGAAAGCAGCTGCCGTCCTTACTTGGCAAAGGCACACACTGAAAAATGTAAAGCAACAATAAACACAACACCAAAAATGTTATATATTGCAGCTTGCCAATCATTAGATGTGCTGGCTGCATTAGTTTTCTCTTTTTTTTAGGCTTCTTTCTCTCTGTTTTTCACCTGGTGATCTGGCCAGTAACACACCTCCTGTATTAGAGTGCCCCCACTCTGGATGAAGGAGCACAGGGGGCACCTTTGGACAGCAGTGTTGTCAGTTTGGGGGGGGCGGGGAGAGAGGAGGGTTAAATGGACTAGCAGATTTAAATGCTCTAACAAATTGGATCAAAACTGGAAATCTTAACCTGCCCCGCAAAGATGATGTTTGGGCTTCTTGTGTGTTGCTGTACCTTTAAGGAGGAAAGGGTTAAGCCTGCTCTCTCCTTGTGAATTGCTGCACATTGTATGTTCCATAGTAAGGAACCCCCACAGGTTAAACTGCATTTATCAAAGATTCCTTGGCAGTGTGACTTCCACATGTGTTTGGAAATGTTTTCAACTTAAACTTCTGTTTTTAACAGAAGTCATTTAAAAAAATGTATTTAGGTGTTTTTGCTGAATAGCTTGAAATTGTGCCACAAAACTTCCGTAGTGTTTTGTTACTCCTGGTTACATTTCTGTTTTCTTATATCTACGTCCACTTTTGTTCAGTCTGTTTCTAAATATCAGCTCTACAGTCCGTATCGCCAAAAGCCTGTGGACCCCGGACCATCACACCTCTATGTGCTTGTTGAACATCCCATACTAGAACCATGCCCATTAATATGGGGTTGCCCCTCTCCTCCCATGCTCAGTAATATGGGGTTGCCCTCTCTCCTCCCATGCTCAGTAATATGGGGTTGCCCCTCTCCTCTCTTGCCCAATAATACCAACTTGACCCTCTCCTCTCATGCCCAATGATACGGAGTTGTCCCTTTCCTCCGATGCCCATTAATATGGGGTTGCCCCTCTCCTCCCATGCCCATTAATATGGGGTTGCCCCTCTCCTCCCATGCCCCATTAATATGGGGTTGCCCCTCTCCTCCCATGCTCAGTAATATGGGGTTGCCCCTCTCCTCTCTTGCCCAATAATACCAACTTGCCCCTCTCCTCCCATGCCCATTAATATGGGGTTGCCCCTCTCCTCCCATGCCCATTAATATGGGGTTGCCCCTCTCCTCCCATGCTCAGTAATATGAGGTTGCCCCTCTCCTCTCTTGCCCAATAATACCAACTTGCCCCTCTCCTCTCATGCCCAATGATACGGAGTTGTCCCTTTCCTCCGATGCCCATTAATATGGGGTTGCCCCTCTCCTCCCATGCCCATTAATATGGGGTTGCCCCTCTCCTCCCATGCTCAGTAATATGGGGTTGCCCCTCTCCTCTCTTGCCCAATAATACCAACTTGCCCCTCTCCTCTCATGCCCAATGATACGGAGTTGTCCCTTTCCTCCGATGCCCATTAATATGGAGTTGACCCTCTCCTCTCTTGCCCAATAATACCAACTTGACCCTCTCTTCCCATGCCCAGTGATACGGAGTTGTCTCTCTCCTCTCATGTCCATTAATATGGAGTTGCCCCTCTCCTCCCATGCCCAATAATACAGAGTTGCCCCTATCCTCCGATGCCCATTAATATGAAGTTGACCAGCTCCTCCCATGCTCATTAATATGGAGTTGCCCCCCTTTGTGGCTATAACATCCTCCACTCTTCTGGGAAGACTTTCTGCAAAATTTTGGAGGCTGCCTGTGGGTCTGTGTGCCCATTTGTGAGGTCAGGTACTGATGTTGGATGAGAAGACCTGGCTCACATTTTGGACCCCATATTGGTCACCACAAAAAAAAGACCTGGCTCCCAATCAGCATTCCAATTTATCCCAAAGGTGTTCAATAGGGTTGAGGTAAGGTGATCAACAAATATTTTCCCATATGGGGAAATTGGTTTTAGCTGAAATTTTTAAATAGATGACATGGAATGTGATAATGGCAGCAAAAGAGTGTTAAATTCTGAAAACTGAGCACAGGTTGATATGCTAATACAAAAAAAAAAAAAACGGGTGAAACACCCTTGGAGGAGGCCGTGTGTAAGCACAGATACCTGAGCTGTACAGAACAGAAGCTGCACCAGTGCACAAGGCAGGCTGACAACACTGGTGCTAAATGAGAAGTAGCAGCTTAGTGTTGTCCCCCTGCATCAGGAAGTGCTGTTACTGGCAGGATCACCAGAGAAGAGAATATGCAACATAGTCACAAAAATGATTTGCATAAGAAAGCTGTAAACATTGAGGTGAATTATTTTCCAATCAACCAACACTGGGGGTCAGAGTTACTTTTCTCTCTTGGGGAATACTTGGGATATTTGTCTATGGACTATTTGTCAATTTATAACTTTTCAGTCATTGTCAGTGGACATGATTTCATAATTTTGTGATTGTTTGGGGATATTTGTTGGTGAAACGCTGGACACCCCCCCCCCCCATTAGGTGGATATCAAGAAGAGGATCTGACTTTGAGAAGCAGCTCCCTGTCAATGGGGGAGCCCTTGATGATCCCTGGGGTAGTCTAGAGTATGTTAGAGGGATCAGAGCAGCAAAACTCAATGAGTGCAATAAGATTTTATTGATCATGATGAGAGGTCAAAAAGCCAACACATTTCGGAGGCTCAAACCTCAGCCTTCATCAGAGCTTGAATGTTGACTGGCAGTCTTCATCAGAGCTGGAATTTTGACTGTCAGTCTTCATCGGAGCTTACATATTGACTGACAGTCTTCATAAGGCTTGAATGTCAACTCACAGTCTTCATTAAGCTTGCATGTTGACTGACAGTTTTCATCAGAGCTTGAATTTTGACTTACAGTCTTCATCAGTGTTTGAATGGTGGCTGACAGTCTTCATCAGGGCTTGAATGTTGATTGATAGTCTTCATCAGGGCTTGAATGTTGACTGACAGTTTTCATAAGGGCTTGAGTGTTGACTGACAGTCTTCTTCAGGGCTTGAATGTTAACTGACAGTCTTCATCAGGTCTTGAAAGTTAACTGACAGTCTTCATCAGGGCTTGAATGTTGATTGATAGTCTTCATCAGGGCTTGAGTGTTGACTGACAGTCTTCATCAGGTCTTGAATGTTAACTGACAGTCTTCATCAGGTCTTGAAAGTTAACTGACAGTCTTCATCAGGGCTTGAATGTTGACTTACAGTCTTCATCAGGTCTTGAATGTTGACTTACAGTCTTCATCAGGGCTTGAATGTTGACTTACAGTCTTCATCAGGGCTTGAATGTTAACTGACAGTCTTCATCAGGGCTTGAATGTTGACTGACAGTCTTCATCAGGGCTTGAATGTTGACTTACAGTCTTCATCAAGTCTTGAATGTTGACTGACAGTCTTCATCAGGTCTTGAAAGTTAACTGACAGTCTGCATCAGGGCTTGAGTGTTGACTGAAAGTCTTGATTAGGGCTTGAATGTTGACTAACAGACTTATCAGAGCTTGAATGTTAACTGACTGTCTTCATCAGGGCTGGAATGTTAACTGACTGTCTTCATCAGGGCTGGAATGTTAACTGACTGTCTTCATCAGGGCTGGAATGTTAACTGACTGTCTTCATCAGGGCTGGAATGTTAACTGACTGTCTTCATCAGGGCTGGAATGTTGACTGACTGTCTTCATCAGGGCTGGAATGTTGACTGACAGTCTACTGTTCTGTTAAGCCTGCCATACATGTATTGAAATTTGGCCAGTTCAGGAGTGACCAGTCGAATTTCAATGCATGTATGGGCAAGGAGGTTGTACAGAAGTCTATCTACTGATTGATTTCAGTACAACCGTCCTGCCAGATTTTCCCTGCTCAATCGGTGCTGCAGGCAATAGCCAGCAATGCTGATCAGTGTATTCTGAGGGCAGATAAGCCTCCTCGCTGTCAGAATGCGATCGCTCAGCGGGAAGAATTCCCCCATCCACATTGAATGAGGGAATTGGTTTTTTTTTTCCTTCAACCTGCTGAATTAACAGAAATAAACTGACTCACCTGTGGGCTGCCATAGTGTCCTCAGACTTGGTGCACATGGATGTATGACTGGGGATGTAAATAGGATCATTATATGTTCATCGGAGATGACTTTCTATACATTGTTTCACAGCTCACATTTTGCTCCATTACATTTATTTGATTGGTCAGCCCTTCCATTGGGGGCATTACAGGATTAAAGCAGATGTAGACTCTAACTGGATGACATTAGAGGGGGATAGTTATAAAGCAGTGGGTGTGACTTTCACCAAACATTCACTGATGATGAATCAATTAAAACACATGGATCTGGAAGATTCCCCTGCAGTGAATGTTTGTTGAATGTCAGATTCACTGCTCTATAAATCTAACCTCTGGTTTGCTCTGTGCCCTGTGAATCATAAACAGTTTTTGGGGGTTTGTTATCATAAAACTGGCTCCTCCCCTTCAGTCTTGCACAGGTGTACCGGCTCCTCCCCTTCAGTCTTGCACAGGTGTACCGGCTCCTCCCCTTCAGTCTTGCACAGGTGTATCGGCCCTCCCCTTCAGCCTTGCACAGGTGTACTGGCTCCTCCCCTTCAGTCTTTCACAGGTGTACTGGCTCCTCCTCTTCAGTCTTGCACAGGTGTACCAGCTCCTCCCCTTCAGTCTTGCACCGGTGTACTGGCTCCTCCCTCTTCAGTCTTGCACAGGTGTACCAGCACCTCCCCTTCAGTCTTGCACAGGTGTACCGGCTCCTCCCATTCAGTCTTGCACAGGTGTACTGGCTCCTCCCCTTCAGTCTTTCACAGGTGTACCGGCTCCTCCCCTTCAGTCTTGCACAGGTGTACTGGCTCCTCCCCTTCAGTCTTTCACAGGTGTACTGGCTCCTCCTCTTCAGTCTTGCACAGGTGTACCAGCTCCTCCCCTTCAGTCTTGCACCGGTGTACTGGCTCCTCCTCTTCAGTCTTGCACAGGTGTACCAGCACCTCCCCTTCAGTCTTGCACAGGTGTACCGGCTCCTCCCATTCAGTATTGCACAGGTGTACTGGCTCCTCCCATTCAGTCTTGCACAGGTGTACTGGCTCCTCCCCTTCAGTCTTGCACATGTGTACAGGCTCCTCCCCTTCATTATTGCACAGGTGTACCGGCTCCTCCCCTGGACTGAAATGGCTTCCTCTGATGTCACTGCACACTGTGAGCATCTCACAATGTGTATTAGAAGCCGCAGCCAGTCAGATCAGCAGCACATGTGGGAATTAGCCAGGGTGGTCTGCTGTTTTCAGGAGCTTATGTGCAGCTCTTCCCATCAGCCATAATTCTCCTGCACTGGATAGAGAAGCACAGAGGCCCAGTGATGACCTCACTGGGGCTAAAATAAGGTATATAATGAGAATTAAAAGATTTGATTTAAGTATTTTTTTTTCCAGGGAAGGCTAAGTCAACTTTACGTCACCCCAGGGATGGATGATGGGTCTATCCTGATCTGATCTGAGGGTGCAGTAAAAAAAAAGGCAGGGGTCATAATGTCAGTAGTGTGACGACGATGGGGGGAGTCAGTATTCCCTGTTCACTCAGCTCTGTACCACAAGTCACAACCCAGAAGTAAAGTCTGACAGGCAGTGCAGGAGTGAACAGGGAGGGCTAGTATGGATTAGGCTGTCATTAGATTAGGATGATGAAACAGAACCTGTGCCCCCTTATACCAGGCGTCTCGATCAGTGTCCCTCCTTACATCAGGAGTCCTTGTCAGAGTTCCCCCTTATATCAGGGTTCTTATAAGAGTCCTCCCTTAGATCAGATGTCCCCATCAGAGTTCCCCCTTACATCAACTGCCCCCTCAGAGTTCCCCCTTACATCAACTGCCCCCATCAGAGTGCCCCCTTACATCAAATGCCCCCATCAGAGTGTCCCCTTACATCTAATGCCCCCATCAGACTGCCCCCTTATATCAAATGCTCCTATCAGAGTGCCCCCTTACATCAATTGCCTCCTCAGAGTTCCCCCTTACATCAAATGCTTTCATCAGAGTGCCCTCTGACATCATTTCCCCCCCTCAAAGTGCCCCCTTATATCAAATGCTCCTATCAGAGTGCCCCTTACATCAATTGCCCCCCTCAGAGTTCCCCCTTACATCAACTGCCCCCATCAGAGTGCCCCCTTACATCAAATTCTGCCGTCAGAGTGTCCCTTTACATCTAATGCCCCCATCAGACTGCCCCCTTACATCAAATGCCCCATCAGAGTGCCCCTTACATCAACTGCCCCCTCAGAGTCCCCCCTTACTTCAAATGCTTTCATTAGAGTGCCCCCTTAAATCAAATGCCCCCATCAGAGTGCCCCATACATCAATTGCCCCCCCTCAAAGTGCCCCTTACATTAACTGCCCCCTCAGAGTTCTGCCTTACATCAAATGCCTTCATCAGAGTCCCCCCTTATATCAAATGCTCCTATCAGAGTGCCCCCTTACATCAATTGCCTCCTCAGAGTTCCCCTACATCAAATGCCTTCACCAGAGTGGCCCCTGACATCAATTGCTCCCCACTTTACATCAACTGTCCCCATTAAGTCACACAGGTTAGTGGATGGGGGGAGGGGGGTTAAAATTTAAATCTGGGGGGGTCACAGCTCACTCCAGCACTATTTCTGGGCCTGAATCACTCCCTAATCGTCATAAAACATTAATCATAACATGTAATCTTGTTACATTGTAACTGTTGGATTCATTTAGAAATTTCATGAACATTCTAAGCTGAGATAAGATTTTAGTGATTGGGTTGGTTTCTACTTTCATATTTCTGCTCACCACTTCCGTTTTCGTTGGTTTTGGGCATAAATTATTATAAAATGCTTCTTTCAAGCTCTTTTTGCTAATTATTTTTTAATTTTAAAGTAGGTGCTATTGATATTTTAAAATGTGTTTGTCTTCTTTCCACTCGTGGAAAGGGGGGGGGGTAGTAGCACTCCCCTGCTCTGTAGCCAGGTACAACCTTGTTCAGTCCTTTGCCCCACACTAGAATGATTCCTCCTCAGGTGGGCTACAATGAAGGAATGAGAGCACCACAAAACGCAAAGGAGTCCAGTAAGATTTTATTTTTCATGGCAAGAGGTGGAAAACCAACTCACTTCAGGGGCTCAAACCTTCCCCCCTCATCAGGGCTGACAGTACAATGGTAACTGACAATAGATCCAAAGTCAACAAGCCTGGGGGTCACCAGGCTGTCCATCTCATCATCCGTTGACTTTCCAACTATTGTCCAGTATCCATGAACATTTGCTAAAAGCATTCAAGCCCTGATGAAAGGGGGGGGGGGGGTGTTGAGCCCCTGAAGTTTGTTGGCTTTTTTGACCTCTTGTGTTGAAAACCTAAAGACATCTTACGGGACTCATTTGGGTTTTGTGGCAATCTCATCCTTCTAATGTACTCTGGACCAAGGGTTCTCAATGTTTTTAAGACCCAGGGCCCTTAAATTCTTTGAAAAACCCTTTCATGTTCCAACAGTAAAGAATATAATTTACAGTATACTTGCACAATAAAAGTATGGGAATACAGAATGTATTGAAATGTTGGAATGCTCTGGATGAGGCTGGAACTCACAACGGGTGGGTGAGGGGGTTGGAGGACTCAGCAAACCTGGTGGAAGGTGGTCAAACCTTCCCCCCTCATCAGGGCTGACAATACAATGGTAACTGACAATAGTTCCAAAGTCAACAAGGTAATAAGATAGTGCTTGGGGGTCACCAGGCTGTCCATCTCATCATCCGTTGACTTTCCAACTATTGTCCAGTATCCATGAACATTTACTAACAGCATTCAAGCACTGATGAAAGGGGGGGGGGGGGGGGTAGAGCCCCTGAAGTGTGTTGGCTTTTTTGACCTCTTGTGTTGAAAACCTAAAGACATCTTACGGGACTCATTTGGGTTTTGTGGCAATCTCATCCTTCTAATGAACTCTGGACCAAGGGTTCTCAATGTTTTTAGGATCAGGGCCCTTAAATTCTGTGAAAAACCTTTCATGCTCTAACAGTAAAGAATATAATTTACAGTATACTCGCACAATAAAAGTATGGGAATACAGAATGTATTGAAATGTTGGAAGGCTCTGGATGGGGCTGGACTTCACAATGGGTGAGTGAGGGGGTTGGAGGACTCAGAAAACCTGGTGGAACTGTAGGTTATGAGGTTCCTGAAGAGGGTCTCAGAAGCATTGAGGTTGGGGGAATTGTGGTACACTGCTGGACAATGAAGGTACTATGAAGGGCTGGAGGATCTGCAGGGGGGGCACTGTGCGAGACTGGGCAGCACTGTGGGAGGTTGGAGGGGCACTTTAGACCACTATGAAAGGTTGGAAGCAGGGGCGGATTGACCATTTGTAAACTCGGGCATTGCCCGAGGGCCCGGGGTCAGCAGGGGGCCCCATGAGATGCCCTGGTACCTTTTTCATAGGCTTTTTTGAGTTTGGGCAAGGACACAGGGGCCCCATGATCCCCTATTGCCCGGGGCCCCATGAGTTGTCAGTCCACCCCTGGTTGGAAGGCATTTACGGGAGCTAAGAGAGACTGTGGGAGGTTAAGGGGTCTATAGCTGGAAGGAGGCCTGGGAAAGGGGAGGCTGAGGGACAACAGTGGGCCAGAGTCTGCTGGTTGGGAACCATTGCTCTAAACTGCTCCAGGGGCCGTCTGGGTCCGGGGACACCACAGATGACAGAAAGCTGCCTCTAAAAGTTGGATACTTACCTCAATGTCTACCTGTCTTATTCATTTATTACAGGTACAGTTGCAAGAAAAAGTATGTGAACCCCTTGGGATTACGTGGAGTTTTGCATGAATTGGGCATAAAATGTGCTCTGAACGTCATCAAAGTCACACCAATAGAAGAACACAGTCTGCTGAACATAATACTACACAAACATTAGATGTTGCCATGGTTTAATTGCACATAACATGTAAACATTCACAGTGCAGGGAGGAAAAAGTATGTGAACCTTTGGACTTAATAACTGGTTGACCCTCCTTTGGCAGCAATAACCTCAACCAAACGTTTCCTGTAGTTGCAGATCAGACCTGCACAACGATCTGGAGTCATTTTGGACCACTCCTCTTCACAAAACTGTTTCAGTGTAGCAATATTCTTGGGATGTCTGGTGTGAATCACTCTCTTAAGGTCATGCCACAGCATTTCAATGGGGTTGAGGTCAGGACTCTGACTTGGCCACTCCAGAAGGTGTATTCTGTGCTGTTGCAGCCATTGTTTTGTTGAATTACTTGTATGCTTTGGGTCATTGTCCTGTTGCATCACCCATCCTCTGCAGAGCTTCAGTTGGCGGACAGATGGTCGTACGTTTTCCTGCAAAATGTCTTTATAAACTCTGTAATTAATTTTTCCATCAATGACAACAATCCGTCCAGGCCCTGAGGCAGCAAAGCAGCCCCAAACCATGATGCTCCCTCCGCCATGTTTCACAGTGGGGATGAGGTTTTGATGTTGGTGTGCTGTGCCTTTTTTTCTCCACACATAGTGTTGTGTGTTCTTCCCAAACAACTCAATCTTGGTTTCATCTGTCCACGGTATATTTTGCCAGTAGTGCTGTGGAACATCCAGGTGCTCTTTTGCAAATTTCAAATGTGCTGCAATCTTCTTTTTGGGCAGCAATGGCTTCCTCCGTGGTGTCCTCCCATGTACTCCATTCTTGTTTCATGTTTTCCTTATTGTAGATGTGTCAACAAAAATGTTAGCATGTGCCAGAGATTTCTGTAGGTCTTTAGCTGACACTCTGGGATTCTTCTTTACCTCATGCAGCATTCTGCGCTGTGCTCTTGCAGTCACTTTTACAGGATGACCACGCCTAGGGAGAGTAGCAACAGTGCTAAACTTTCTCCATTTGTAGACAGTCTCTGTCTTACCGTGGACACATGAACCTCAAGGCTTTTGGAGATACTTTTGTAACCCTTTCCAGCTTCATGCAAGTCAACAATTCTTGATCGTAGGTCTTCTGAGAGCTCTTTTCTGTGAGGAATGGTTCACATCAGACAGTGCTTCTTGAAACCAGTAAACCCAAAACAGGTGTGTGTTTTTTAAGGGCAGGACAGCTGTCAGCAACACATCCAATATCATCACACTGATTGGAGTCAAGGTTGGCTCACTCCTGGCTCCAATTAGCTCTGGGAGAAGTCATTAAGCTTGGGACTCACATACTTTTTCCTCCCTGCACTGTGAATGTTTACATGTTATGTGCAATTAAACCATGGCAACAT